GCTCTAGATACATCAACCTTGAGGAAAACGTCTCAGAGTTGTCATATAACACACAATAAGTTGCAGGGAGGTGGCAGGTGGGGACTAGAAGAGCTGTTCAATTAACCCAGTTGTAAGTTAAATGTGGTTTACGATATTGGGATGGATAATGAAAGTTTTTGCTAAACCAGGCGCCGGCTCAGCCCTCATGAACTATATATAGATAGTTCCAAGCTGGTTACAACCCAGTCTTTGCCTATTCAAATGCAGGCTGGAAACATTTACTAGGGTATGCCGTGTATGACTACAAGCAGCAGCTACAGCGACAAGGACTAAGCTAAACAAGAAGACGTAGAGCATTTTGTTGCAAATCATTGAGAGTGCACTCTGAGGCGGAAATGGGTGCACATATAACTCAATAGCCCGTATGCCCTGACAGGCACACGTATTTACTGGCATGTTTCTCATATATATAGCAATGGGGTATAAAGCATATCGTGTAGTTCTAGGCGCGCTGACTGTTTGTCATATGCACACTCGGCGCGTTGCCAAATATTGATTATATCTTCAAAAAATGAATGGAAATGCGCTTCGCTGACTTCAGCCAAGTGTAAAAGGCAAAGGAAAGCAGCTCTGCAGAGGGGCGGCAGATAAAGCTGCCAACGTATGCGCGTCATCAGGCAAAGGACATCCGGGATAGCTAATGCTCAGAAGATGGGATAGCTACAGCTAAGCCTGTCTGCCACAGTATGTCAATTGACCTGCTAGAAATGCCATCAACTTTACACTGACCCCAATTCAAGTTAACAACTTTAATGGGCCAACTAAGTGTTTCTATAAATATATATATACATATATATATACATGTACAATATGAAAGTCAAGCAAATGGCGCGACCAGCAGAGAATGGCAAAAGTTTTAGTGTTTAATGTCGCGTGACGCTTAACAAATATCCGCATACTCGCAGAGCTTACAAAATAATCTCAGCTTTTTGCATTGGCTCATTACGCTAATGTGTCAATCCAAAGAACTGAATAAGCACCTGTCAGAAAGGCGAATGCCAGTTCTGGATAAGTTAATGCAAAGGTAAAATGTGAAACTTCTGAAACTATTTCTTTAAGCGCAGTTGAGATTTGGTTCATTCGCATTGCATTCAGTCAACCTGATGGGTCCACACCTGTCTTGAGTATGCTATATACTGGATGGGAGCATCCCAGTTTTTGGCTCAAATTGGCGAGCACGCCTCTCAACGCCCCTGCTGGCAATCGAATTGGCAAAGCCATTAAGAGACTTGCACTCCTGCTGTCCCATTCGTTGACAATCGTGCAGCATTGTTGTTATGGTCTTTTGTCACCTGCGAGCTGGGAGCTGCGTGCTAGCTGAGACATTGGACGTTGATGGAATCGACGGTCTCGCCTCCGCTTACTCACTCACAAGTTGTCAAAACTCATAAATTGCGACAACACACCCTGCTTATCTCCTGACTTATCAAGCGTACTCACAGTCAACACAATATATATCTTCAACTATCTATATATATTATACCAAAACAGCCTTAATGCCATTTGACAACTTCGAAATGTGTTTGCTCAACTAGTGTAATTGTTATCGATAAACGAAAACAGCATAATTTTCTGATACGGGGGCCTCAACTGCCGCAAAGGCCAGGCGAGCCGAGCTGAGTTCAGCAAAGTGAAGTTAGTAAAGTACGTAAAGTAGCATGTCAAATTACAACGCTAATTGACTCATAAATGGGCGGCACTCGACTACAGGCTGGTGGCAGGTGGCAGGTGGCAGGTGGCAGGCTGCCTAAATTAGTAAAAATATCGATTGAATTAACATAATTTCATAGCGAATGCTCGTTGCTCACCAAGTCACACATACGCCCCGTGCCCCAGGCCCGTGCACTAAAAAATAATAATATTCGAATATGCTGATGTAAATTTGCAAGTCAAGTAACTGATTTCACAGTTAGCCGCTGTACTTACCTCGCTAGAAGTACACGCATAGTTATATGTAGAGCTGTGTGTAGATTGCAGGTTTAGGTTATAGACTTTATAGTTAGCAGAGAGCGAGATAGAGAGAGAGTGTTTTAGAGTTGAAAACGTCGCCCGCTTTCCGCTTTACTTGCTTTGAAGCCTACGCACTGGGACGCTGTTTCTTCTCAGGCTGCTGCGGCTTACATTTTCCGCTTCGAAGGGGCACCAAATTTGTCACAGCCACACGCGCTTTCTGAGAGGCAACAAATAAATGTATGCATCTACATATATATTTAAAGATATATATAAATATATATTTTATATAGTATATATGTATGCTCTACTTGGCTCAGCTATTGCACACAAGCACACACACACACACTAACACACAAATAACAGTTTGCATTGAAATGCCCCCAACCACAACTTTTTCTAGAAATTCTATTAAACAACGAAAAAACACACAAGAGAAACGGGAACAAAGCAAAAAACAAGTTCGGAGTCAGAGGCAAATAAAAACTTATTCGGTTGTCATTTATGATAATGCGTATACGCCGTGCTGGTCACGGGTTTCTATGAAATTTACAGAAGTCGCAGCTCGGTTATTTCGTTACATTTGTCTTCACATTTGCGTCGTCCGTTTGTCTGCACTGCTGTTCGCCTATCTGTCTACGCTTTGCTTGCCTACCCTCATCCTGTACGCACATACGAGTGTCTGTATACGTGCGTGTGTGTCTATGTGTGTGTGTGTGTGTGTGCGAGCTTGTTGGCTGTAATGTTGTTCTGGGTACACGCCTTACTTCAAAAGCATATTCATTCGCACAGTTATTTAGGTGTTTTCTTTCGTTTCGTATTGTTATAGCAAGTCCACTTTTAATGAAACGCACTGCACGATTTCTGAATTGAAATATTTCTTTTGTTTCTTAAATAGATTGTTTAATTATTAAGTTTCAATTTGCATTTACATGCTAACGGCTGTGGTTCTTTCCGCTTGCAACAATTTCCAGCACAACACGCTCCAAAGTTTAGCCACGAACTAAACCATCCAAGGCGAAACTTCACATCAAGAAGCGAAAACCCGAAAACGAAACCCGAGCAACACACACAACAACAGCAAAGGGAAAAGGAAACCGAAACGAGAGGCTTCCTTTCCAATGCCTGCGTACAATCCTTTGTACGAGAACGAGGCAGCAGCACAGCCGAGCAAAGCACGTACCATGCGAAATGTGTTATTTTGGAAGCACGTTTAAGGTGCTGTTGTTGCCTGGAAGTCTCTATGGGTCTCTCTTATTCGAGCGCGCTCTCTCGCTCTCTCTCTCCCTCTGTCTCTGTCCACCCCCTCACTAAAGCTATCGAAAAGGCTCTCTGTTAAATGCGTGCTGTGCGTGTCCTGCGCTCTTTGCTGCGTGTCTGCATACCACAGTTGCTGCTTGGCTTACTGTTACAGCCTTACACACACACACACGCACACAAACATACTGTGTCTGTGTTAAATTAGTTTTGATACCAACTTTGATTGCCGACTTTCAGCTACTTAATGCTCGCAGACAATTGCAAAGTTATATTTTAGCTGTGAATCTTTCGTGTGGAGAATGTTTTTTGAATTCCCTGTGGTTCTTGTGTAGCTTTTTGTCCGCCTTTGAAAACATTTTGAACGTTTATTGGCCATGCTTATGCTATTTGTGCGGGCGCACAAAAAAGTTATAAATAGCTGCCGCAGGCCTCGTCAGCAACGGCGACAGCGACGACGACGGCGACGACGACGGCGACGACAGCCGCGAGAACATCAAGTTCAGACCACGCTGATGGAGAGCCCGTCCGTCCGTGGGGAATGAGGCGAGGTGTGTGGGAAGTTGAAACTTTTGACCTTAGTCAAGTGAAAACGTGACAATACGTCTTCATCTTCCGCTACAGCTCGCTTCGCTCTTTCTCTCTCTCTCTCCCTCCCTATCTATATGTGTGTCTATCATTCTGTAAACAGTTTATGCGGCTAATTGGCGTACCCTTTGGGGCTGCCGATGCGGCCTTTAGTTGAAGTTGCCTGCCGAATAATTAATGCAACTGCAAGTTGGCCCTAGCCGCAGCTACTAACGGCTAATTGCCAACTACTGACTGCTAGCTAATTACTGTTGCTGCATTAATAATAAGTTTCAAAGGCTAGCGGTTTGTACGCAGCAGACGACGCCGCACCCAGTTTGTTTGACGCATACTCATGAATTTATGAATCCAGAGCCCACACACTCCACGCAGACCCCGCGCCACTCATCCTTCCGCCTGCTGCTCAACGCTTTTATGATTATTGCGACGCCGCGTCTGCGTCTGGTCCGTGTGTTTTTTCTGCCCCAAACTGACGCCAATCCCCGACCCCCATGCCCACAACCCCTCCGAATGTTGTCAATCAAAAACCCAGCCCTATGGACCAGATTCTCTACTGGGTGTTGCCTGTTATTGTTGTTATTGCTGATGTTGCTGCTGCTGTTTGGCAATTTGTTGTGTTGTTTGCCTAGTTTTCGATTTTTGTGCCATTTATCTGTTCCAAGTGGTGGTGGTGGAAAGGGGACGAAAGGGAGTCGGAGAAAGTGGTATGCGAATGCGGTGGGTATTATTAATGTGTGGACATTTGACTGCGGACCCCATGCGCCACTTAGGATTAGACCACACGCAGCCCACTTCAGGATTATAGTGTCCTTTTGCCAGGCAAAAAGGCATCTGCCCTTTCATCTCTTCTCAAGAAAAATCAATGGATTGACTTTGGCTGCTGTGTGGCGGCCGCTATTTTCTGCACTTTAAACGCGTCACTAGAAATTTGCCACAAGCCGTGTGTGTGTGTGTGTCTGTGTGAATGGTTTGGGCCTTTTTTTGTTTTTGTGTAGTGTCACTTGATTTATTTGACGCTTTTCAGCTTAATTTTTGTTATTTGTATATATGAATTTTTTCGTTTGACTTTGCTTTTTGCATTTGTCGAAGATTTTTCATGAATTTTCTTAGCATTTCGCTTGATTTCTGCCACAATTTGTCGCAGCACTTTTACTTGCACTTACACGCATCGAATCGTATCGCAGCGCATCGGAAATGGCATCGGTTTTCAAGGTAAGCACAACCGATGCGTCTACATTAATTCGCTGGCCATATTTTTACATGCACTTTTCACACTCGTATTATATTCTTATATGAATTTATTTTATATACTATTCTGCTCTTCTTCCTCTTCTTCTTGTTGTGTACAGTTTGTGTTGTTGTCAGCCCTTGGGCGCACTCGGACAGACCAAAGTCGAAAACTTTCAATACTCAGAAGGCGACTCAACGTCAACGCGTTACGTCACAACACGTCCGTATTCAGCTGTGGCCGTTACTCCACTGAACTGATGATGGCGTTGGCAATGGCGACCATGTCAAGTTTTTCACAATAGAAAAACTTTTTCACGCGCCTTGCTCTCGCTCGTTCTGTGTCTCTCGCATTCTTTAACACGCGCCTCTCTGGCTCTTTCTCTCTCGCTGCGTCTCTCTCGCTCTTGCTCTCTCTCTCTCTCGCTCTCTTTATCGGACACTGGCATAACTTTTGCTTCTGTTGTTGTTGACGAGTGATAAAGCACAAGCAACGCAGACCCATAGAACGCGTTAATTTTCGCTGTTTTCGTTCTACTAGTTAGTTAACTTTTCCTCATTTTCCCTTTATTTTTGCTAACGTTTTCATTCATTGTCAACTTGCGGCATTTGGGTTTTATCTCTCTCTCTCTCTCTCTCTCTCTCTCTCTCTCCTTTATCTCTCTCTGTCTCTCTCACTCCGCGCTTTTGTTTTTGCTCCGCTATCAGTTGCTCAGAGTTTTCTCGTTCTATCTTCCTTTGGACATTTCCTTTGGACTTTATTATTTATGGTCACTTAGTTAGGGCACGTGACAGTTCATTATGCATAAATTTAAAACATATGGATTTGCTGTCTTTTATTTAGCTTTTATCGCTTATTTAACGCGTGTATCTGTATGTGTGTGTGTGTGTTTGGCTTTTTTCAGCAAGAAAACTTTTCGGCTTTGCGCGTCAATGAATACAAATTACCAATTGGCAACATATTGGCTTTAGGGCTAACAACCAAGACTCCAATCCTCAATGCTATCTATCTCTTTTCAACCATTTCATGGCCGGCTAACTATAATTTCGTATTCTAGCTGTTGAGAAGTTTTTTCAGGTCAACTGACAAACAACAATGTCTGTCTGCCATCAATTTAAATATTTATGTGTTTTTTATTTATTAAGAATTTATCAACTAGTTATTTTGATTTAAATATTCATTATTTTGTAATGACATTATTAGTTTCATTTCATTAATTGAAAAAAGTTTTTGAACTCAAACGAGCTGAGTGCATTACATAGCAATTAGCTTTTGACATGCACAGCTGCTCCCAGCAGATAACACAACCAAAAAGACTAGCAGACAGCTATCTCACTCACTCTTTACCGCTAACGAAACGCGCACGTTTTACACGCGTTTCTCGCGCGATTTCTCTACAGTTAGCAGTTCGCTGTTCGCAGTGTGCTTAAATTAAGCAAAACATAAATAATTGTTGGCGTAGCGCTAAAGAAACAGTTGATAGATCAATGTCGAGTGGCAGCGCCACAGACATTATAGTGGCAGAAAGTTGGACGCATATATCGGGCACTATCGACAGACGCCAAGAGCAACAAGTTGATGTTTTCATTAGCCAACGACGACGACCACGCAATAGGCCAGCAAGTCAGTTAGCCATCTCAGGAAATCAGCCAACGTCTAATTAATAATTTCGTAATTGAAACTGAGCCCTGGTTGGCGGCAGTTGGGGAGAAGGCTGGAGGCGGAAGGGACCGGGCAATAAGTTACGTCTCTGGCAGGCGGTCCCGATACATTGGCGTAGGGCTTTTGATTAATGAGCAGCTTAAGTGATACCGGGCAGCTGCTCCGACTGAGCATTCAGCCGAGAAGAAAGACAAGCCCTGAGCTGATGAAGTCACTAATTTGACTTAAAAACGCATTAAAAACCATTTTCGATAAAAAGCACAAAAACACCAAGCGAAGATCGCGTGAGGCATCCGAGTGGCAGGGTTTTTCCGTATTTCGCGATTTAACCGTAGTCGGACACATAGCCTAGGCCAGCGTCCATGGCTCTGGCTTGTCTAGTGAAAGTTGTAGTAGCACATCGGAGCCTCTAGAAAACTGTAGAGTAACGTGGAAATACTTCAACTAAGAAGTGATATGTTTTATTTTATTTCAAATACTTTTAGTACAAGAGATACTTAAAGCTTGTTACAAGGCAAGGCACTCTGAAAGCCGAACATGTTAATTTCAAAGCGAATATAAGTCTTAAGCAGAATATTTATTAATGTTGCAATTGAAATTTATATAGTATAAAAAAATTAAGAAATGTAGATCAAATGTTAAATGTTTTTAAACGTGACCTGATGGATCTAGAGGAAATTTTAGAAGTAATAATTTGAATGGAATGGAATATTCATACGAGTAGTTGCAGCGATATGTATGCAATATATATGATATTAAGTTATGCATAAATTATTCTCCTATTATAATGTTATTACACTATATAAAATATAAAATTTAAGTTTAGATATTCTTGGCAAACAAATTCAGTAGGTTATTGTATAACTGATATAGGGAGAGAGAGTATTCGAAGGCAATACTTCAAGTTAGGAAACATATTTTTTATGCACAAAATATATTGATTTGAATGGTTTGCCGAGCTATAGTCAGTGGCTGTTGCTCTGCTGCTGCCTCCCACAATTGGCGCGCCATAATAACGCCTTTTTCGTTGAAATAAAGAAGAAGGCTTAGCCTGAGTTGACAAACCGATGTTTGCATTTAAAGATCTATTTGCCAAAAAGCCAGAAAACAAGCCAACATCCAACAACAACAGCAAGCAAACACGCACACACATAAAGCAGATAAAAGCCGAAATAACCTTCATTGGCCATAAAAATCAAAAGCAACAGCTAACAATGAATTGTGTCTATGGCCAGCCAACAACAAAGGCAGTCAGCAAAAAAAAGAATAAAAAAGTTAATACAAAAAGCTGAAAATTTACAATTTAAATAAATTCACTTTATTACAGTTTCGCATATTCGCGACAATGTAAAACAAATAATAAAAATTGACAATAAATAAAATAAAGTCGTTTTATTGTTTGAATGACTGGCTGGGCAGCTAATGAACTTCCGGTCTTTAGCTGAGCTGAAGCTCAGATTGGTCAAATGCTGAAGATGATGCACCATGAATCACTGGGCCAGAAAGTTCATAGGTTGAACGATCAGTCAGAGTCGATCCAAACATGCGCCTTCACTTAAGACCTCTCTTTTCTCTTTCTCTCTATTTCTCTCTCTGTCTTTCTCTCTCTCTAAGTTGGCGCTGCCGACGTCATAGACTCTAAGTCGGTCTCTGTGCTGGTCGGCAGTTGAAACCAAGTTTGGCCCGCACGCTCAGTTGGCTACGAGCTGCAGCCACGATTGGGCTGGCCGCGAGATACGGAAACTGAAACTGAAACCGAAACCGAAACAGAAACCGAAATTGAATTGAAACTGAAGTCGAAATTGAAATTGAAACCGAAATTTAAAATACAAAACGAAATTGAATTCTTTGACTGCCTTTCTACGCTCGGACGTGTAAAGTTTTCTTAATTAGTCGCTTTTGCAACCGCAACATTAAATAAAGTCACAATCAAAATAAAAATAAAAACAAAAACAAAAACAAATACAAATACGAATATCGAAAGAGAAAACAAAAAAACACGAGAGCTCCTTCAATCATTTTTGAATGGCGATCTAACTCGCTGGAGTGCAGTGCGAAAATAGAAAATTTGAAAATTGATTAAGTTCAGATTGGCTAAAGTTTCATAATAATTTGTGTTTTGATGAGCGCAAGCATTGAATTCATTTTTATTTATAAATAAGCAAAGGTGAGTAATTAATTAATGATATTTTTGTGTGTAGGTCTGTTTATATTTAGATTCCATTTCATGCTTGCCGCCAGAACAATCCAAAAACTGAATAAAAACTCGTCTAAGATTAAAAACAAAAATAAAAAAAAAAAACAGATTTATTGATTGAGCACTTTTCGACTTATGTGCTGCGGAAAGTTTGAAGCACTTGCTATAAAAGTTTAATGATAATAAGATAAAAAGCTACACAAATTAAATAAAATGAAGTCAACGAAACAAAAACAAAACGCCAACAAGATAAGAGTAACAAAAACAAAATCAACAACAACAAAGCCCAAAATTAAAAATAAATAAATAAAAAAAACTATCAACAGCCTTGAAAAGTCGTGCTTAATTTCTCATACTCAATACTCAAGTATAAAATATATGCTTAAAAAATTATAATGAAGCGATCTTTGGTATTGGTATCTGGTGTTTGGTATGTGGTATTTATATCGCTCCATTGTCTTTCCCAACTACACGGGTAGCACCTCTGTCTGTGGTTGGGTAAATGATGCCAAATTAGTGCCAAATGAAGCTAAATCACTTTTATTGGGATCTAAATTGATGGGTGAAAGCGAAACTAATTGAGTTAACTTTTCAAATCACGACGCTGCGAGCTGTAGGAGTGGGCGTGGGCGTGGGCGTGGGCGTGGATTGCAGCCATAGAAACTTACGTTAGCAGAAACCGTGGCAAATGCCACTAAACTACTGTTGCATAGACTTGGCAATGTATTAGAGATTGACTACTGTATGTCATCGAAAGATCTACAGACTAATGTCTTTGACTTAAATATAGGTGGATCACAAAAAGCTATTCCCTCTACAAGGGCATGCAAACATCAGCAATTAATCGTGTTTTTTTTTTGTTTTTAGTTTTATGTGATCTTTTGAGATTTGAAAAAATTGCTTGGCTTTGAGTGTGGCGAATCAATCAAGCTAGATATGTCAGTTGAGCAATTAGGCTGAACATTTTACATACAAAATTTAGTTAAAGCCATAAAACCTCACTTTCAATAGCTTTCAGAGTCCACATAAAGTTAAAAAATTAACTTAAATATATTTATAAAATATTGCTATATTTTGAGTTAACTGATTTGAAAAACATCATAAAAGAATTCATTTTAAAACTATTTCAAAAAGTCTTCTTTTACCTGTTCAATTCAAGTTCAAGGTGTAACTGCCAAAATCAATCAGAATGTTATTAAATAACTTTTCAATTTGCAGTAAGTTTTAAAAGCTAATAGAACAAACTTCAAAAGATAAGGCCAGTTGCCAGTAATTATTGTTCAGCTTACCACCAATACAGAGGCATCGTAACCCATCACTGAATCAGCCAATCTGTCCGCCTCTATTCTTTGCTCTGATCATCCATTTGGCTGCTTTTCAATGCTTCAATCTTGAAAGTCATAAAAGAGCTTCGAATTGAAATTCAAATTAAACAAAGTCTTTTATCATGCACAGAAGAACTTTATCTTTTGTTCAATGGCTTCCTCGATTTGCTTTATATTAACAAATTCAAATTTTAAAACAATGTTTTTTAATCATATCTCGGATATTAAGTGGCCTGACAGAGGGGGCAAGAGATGCCCAGATTCATGTTGAAAGACACGAATGAATATATATTAGTTATATTCGTTCCACATATGTATAAATGCATAAACAGATATAACCTTAACTGGGTCATTTAGAAACATAATATAGAAATAGTAATTACCGAAAGCAATTCCAAACACATTGCGGCCAAGCTGAACGACTTTGACAATTGAGCCATTTGAAAAGTGCGAATTGTCAGCGAGAAAACGTTTTTCGGCCATTTCCATATGACTTAATGCCGTGAAAATGGCCAAATGCTCAATAAGCCATAAACCATTTTGAACAGCAGCCAGAAAACAACAACAGCGACAACTGTTTTTATGATTTATGAGCTGATGAATTGACCATGGTGCACAGCGTCTGCGCAACATGAGGAAATACCAAAAACGTGGGCGTTACTATGTACCACAAAGACCCGAGAGTTGAGACTACAGAGTGGAGAATGAAGAATTGAGAGTCAAGAGTCGAGCCACCTCCATTAGCAGTTGCCGATTATGGCGACAATGTCGCTAAATGGCAAAAAGCCCAAATGCCGCTGCTGTCAACTCATTTGCGCATTGAGTTTTATGGGCTTTGTTGTGTGGTGACTGTGGCTGGCTTTAGGCTTTTGTGTGTTTGCCAAAGTTGATTGATTTATGAAATCGAAAGTGACAGTCGATCCCGGAAATCCTAGCCAAGCCGCGTGGCAGGTGCCATGACTGTTTAAGAACCAGTTCTATTGAGCACATTCCACTGAAACGCAATGACATGACTTTATTCTAATTAATGTTCTTGTTTGATTCTAATTGTAGTGCAGTGTGTGTGTGTGAGTGTATTCTTGTATAAAGCTGTGTATGCCACCAGGCACTGAGAGATACGCTGATCACGAAATCCGGTTACTGGCATTCGACTGTATTGTGTGTGCTCTCGATTTGAACAGCTTTTCAGCTTTTATGAATTTATACACATTTTGATTATCATTTTATTTGCGGTAGCTGTTGAATTAGTAACGGTTGTTTCTCTACCAAAATTTGTGAGTTACATTCTTGTTTTATTGTTGTTTAATAACGTGTTTTTATCAGATTTTTATTGAATATTTTTTAATTATAATTTTGCCTAGCACGCAACTGCATGTTGGGAAGTGCCCAAACCAGAAAAAATCATTTTGTTCTAGATATTATAGAATGTTTTAAAAATAGATCAAATTTCCCAGAAGCTACTTTTGAGCACCCACCAATTATAATTAACATCATCAGCTTTAATATGTTTTATATTATACATTTTATTTCTCTATTCACCCAATTTAAGCTAGAGACAAACAATACATAGTTAGTCTGAGCCTGTTGGCATCCTCTATTAGTTTCAAATTAGAATAACCTATGTATTCCAAATTCAATTCTATTCAATATGTAATATTTTATTTACTGTTGAGCCGCTCTTCAGATTTACCACAAGTTTTATATCAGCACCAATTGAGGCATGGCAGATCGGCAAAAATGTAATTTCTTCTAGTTAAAATCGACAGTTGCAGGTGTCTTACGACTTAAGGCTTACCAAAATATTTACTTTTTTACTTAACTATTTTTGACTGCTAAAGAGTAATAAGTATTCAGCCTTATAATTTTTATTTCTTTCCGAGCTTTTTAATTCTAAAAAAAAACAAGGAGCAAGAGGGTGCTATCGAGCATCAGCGACTGCATGAATGAAATTGATTAATTTGCACGTTTAGGAGATATTAAGATTTAGAAATATTTTCAATTGGCTACGAGAGGTGTATATATAAAAATATTTTTTGGTCAGTCATTAATAGCTGGGCGCCTTCAGTGGGCGTATCCAAAAATTATATAAGTCGATATTATATATATATTTAAAGCTCATATTCAATACAGTCGACACACCCTACATATATACATGCATGAGGACAGTCAGACTATAATTGGATAACGTCTATAAATATATTTTTAATATCTGCTTTTTTGTAAAAAGTCAGGCCAAAGTTTAATTATTGTCAAAGGAAAAAACACTTCAAAACTGGGGATCAATCGATCGAGAATCTTCAAAGCGAAACTTAGGAGAATTACCAATCAAATAATTAAGTGTTTTCGACTAAACTAATGACTCTTAACTTTTGTTTAAGATTTGATATTGGCTTGAATTGCTTAACTTTTATTTAATATTTGATATTAGCTTGAATTGCCGCCAATCCACAGAAAGATTTTGCTTTGTTGTATAGTAAATTGTGGTTATGAGCACTTCAAAGTTTTAATAGGACTCCATTTTACACAGTATTTAGCTGAAGTGTGAATTCGAGTTCAGATTCCATTAAACAGCAGCCGCAATTACAAATTATCTTATAATTTATGCTTCTAGATACATTTATAAATATTGACATTAGCCGTGACGAGAGCGGCATTTATGGCTCTTATTGCAACGCCCCAAGCAATCAACACCAACATCAACATCGACAAACATCAATAACAATTGCAATTGTTAAGGTGGGCGTGGCTGTTGGCACTGTCTAATGTGCTGGCACTTGTTCAAATGGAGCTTATAGCGGAGGGGCGGCATGTGGCCCATTGCAACGTCTCGAAATCACTTTCACTTTTAGCAATTTTTTTCGCAATTTGCGTCGCGTTTATTGTTTTGTTGGTTTGTTTGTGTCAACCTCGGCTTGAACTCGACTTCCCGCCCTCCGCTTATATTCGATTTAACACAATTAGCACTTGAGGAAATGGTTAAAAGCCTAACTGCTATTTGGACACGTAAAATGTGTGGAAAGCACTCGATCGATGTTTGCAGAAGAAACGTCACAGAGTTTTTGCAGATTTCGCTATGAACTATGAAATATAGTGAAATACTTAATGAAACAAACTTTAATTTGAAGTGTATATATATATATATATTAATACTTTAAGTATGGAATAGACTGTTATGTGTGTTAAGTGAGTCTTAAAAGTAAAAACTTCGTTCCTTTTTTAAGCACTTTCCATAGTAAACAGTATCAGTATCTGAATATTATATAATTTTCTAACTTCAATATCTATTTTCAATTTGTTTGATTTTGCTTAAATGTCTATATTTTAGCGGCAATAGCTAAGAGCAAAAGTGGTCATTCCAAAATATATTCTCGAGCAGAAGAGCTGAGGCAACTTATGCCTCGCACTGCTACGTATTGCATATTCGGACGAAAAGTGGAAAAACTTCGTAGGATTAAAAAATGAAATATCCGTCATTCGTACTTATAGGCATCTCGTGCGTAATGCTCGCATTCCTGTTTTTTCATCGGTCCATATGATCACAAGATATTTTACCGCTTTTGAAGCTAGAGACTAGAAACTTCAAGCCTATATTCATTGGTGCCCTCGAAGCCACATACGCATGACAAGATGGGTAAAATTCGTTCTTCAAGCAGACTCTCTTTTAAGCAGACTCTCTCATGACATATACAATAATATTATTTTACCGTTTTTGTATCGTAGATGAACATATTACAGTCAGTATTATTATTATGGCATATGGGTCCGAAGTATATTAATCATTTCTAAAATATATAATAGTATAATAATAATCAGACATACATTTAATTTAATATAAGCTCGCAATACGCCTTCCTGTTATAGGCATTATTAAGTCTTTACCTTCAATGCCTATAAAAATTAATACAGATATAGATCGGGCTCTCAGCAATATTTGTGTTTTGCGGAGAATTATATCAAAGTTTTGCTCAATTATATTTAGTTATATGGAATGATATCATATAGAGCTACAGCTTCTATTAATAGAAGACACAACTATTTGACATTCAAATCAAATAGATTTCCATATTTACGACACATCTCCCAGAGGTGCCCATTAGTCCAATTGCGTATACTGTGTAAATGGACAATCGGCTGAAATAAATTGTTTACTTGGCATAATCGAATCGTATATAATTAAGTGATTTATTGCAATTTCTCCAGCGATTATTCCGGGCACTCACTTTCAGCTCATCGGGCACAACTGACATCACGCATCACGTCGCTGCCAAAACATATTCAATTCAATTGAAATCAACTCTTTGTGTATCTTAGGCAACGGAATCGCAAATGCAAATGCAAATCCCCGTAGTCCAACGACGAATGAATTGACAATGACAAAGAGTATTAAACGTTTCAGTCTCCGTCTCAGTCTCCGCACTTCTAGTAGTTATGGGGGTATTCTCCTAACCCATGTGGTGAGTATTCACAATCGACTCGTTCACAATCGGCGGTACGCAATCTGAGCCACACAACCCTTTCAGATATTAGCTTGTATCTCAGCAGCATTCAGCACGCCGCCATCATGCGGCTTATATGGTGCGCCGCCTTGCCAATTTCTTCCAGCGCCGCCGGGACAGACACCCAAGTAAGTTCAAGCATCTCTCACCCTATCTGTATCCGTAACTATAATTAAACTGATTCTGTCTATGCTCTACGCTTCAGCTGCGCCAGGCCCGGCAAAACCTACTGCGAGCACGTCGACAACTATCCCACGTAAGTTGAGCGAGCTAAATGCCAACATAAATAATACACTTAATGTCCGAGCGAGGTTCAAAGTCGCTCAGCAACTGTTGCTAACAAACACAATCACATGCAAATGCATTTCAAACAAATGTTTGGCCAACACGCACTGCTCGCTGGCTCCAAATCAGATTCAGCCCGAGCTCGAACAGAAACCAGAAACAAGTTTTTGCATATACCACACGCGTGTCTATTGTGATTACCTCTATACACACCCATACGCCCCTATGGCCATATACCCATATACACGTATACCTAGAGACCTGTTAGCTGACAGTTGTCAGTTGCTAGTTGCTAGTTCCGCGACGACAACGCACACGTACTCGAAGATGCTCTGGCTGCTGGCTGCTCTCCGTTGGCTCTGTTTTTAGTCGGCGGCTCGACTCGACCAGCTGGCGGAGCTCCTTGACCCAATAAACTTGAATTGACAGTTCAAGACACTTCGTCTGTGACGACGCGCCGCGTGCTTCTCGAATATTTATGAATGCCTCTTTGAATAATTAACCATTTATAATAGTGTTTGGGGTATCATAGCTATGCGATATGACTGATTGGCAAAGGAATCAAAGTTTGTTCCACCAATTCCTTATCACTTAACAATACCATACTTGACAATGAGTAAAGCCTATGTATAGCCTGTGAGCTAATAGAGGTGGGAGCTCATAAGATACAAGTTGTTTCATATAATAAAATATAATATTAGTTTATTAGCAAGTTTATTTTAATACTTCTTTAATGGAGAAAGGCTAATTAATGTGCCTCTTTTATCTTTATTAATAAGCTTGAGCCAGCCGAAATATTTTTTAAAAAGTTATATAGAAATCTAGCTATATTTAGCCACGTTTATAAAGCCATTAAGAGTATTTGAATTTCGTTTTGTTTAGGTTCAATACTTTTCTTACGTGCTCGTTTATATTGATTGTTAGTTGGTTGTATTTTCTACCTGCTTTTCCATTTGTTTGGCTATTTTTAGATAATTTCTTCGATTTGAATAAAATTCCACTACACGCAATGATAATGAATTTAATAATGATTTTAGCAATGTTAATGACAATGACAATGATAAGGCAGGCGCCAAGTAAGGCCACGATTTGGCGCCAACTCAGAAATTAAGTCATCATTTTATGAGGCCCATGGAATTCGGATGTTGCATAATTCTTAAAAATAAAAGCAAAGCAAAATAAAGACCGAAAATCATTTCGAATGGGGAAAAGCCAAAGCGTGTTTTCACCTTTGTGACACATATTGTGGCACGTGATATGCATGCGATGCAGTTGACATGAAGAAGCGAGAAAATATAAGTGGATATGACTAGCCGTACTACTCACTGCGTTACTTAGCCTAACCCATTGTCTGGCTGCAATATTAATTATTATTTAGGGGCGTGGCACACATTTAGGCAGTTGTCTGTCTAAAAGTTGCTCTGTCTGTTCGTCAGCTTGTTGCATAAGCCAACCAAGGCGATGTCGACAAGTGGCATGGTATTCCACTTTCGCAGTACATACCCATGGCAAGGGATTGAAGCGGGCATCCCAGCGAAATCTACTCGAAACAATCTCTTACATCACCTAGGCAACAACTTCAGCTGCGCTCTCATTGTGTGTTGAATTTGCAGATATCTCATCAAGAGTCTCGTACGTAAGTGGGGCTACGAGGCGGCCTCTTTGTTGGTCGACGAGACCTGGGAGGAATTCTCGGCCGTGGCATGGTCGGACACGCCCGTATTCTACGATCCAAAGTCTATATTTCCGCAACGTGACTTTGCCAACGGGCAAGACTTCAATGGCTACAGCTATCAGACGCCCTTTGGCAGCGTGCCACAGCGCGGCGTAGGCAACTCTCTCTTCGCGCCCAACCCCACAACAAAGACGCCCACGTGAGTAGCTGATGTAGCTCTACAGACAATTCTAACTTTCTTTCCCACTACAGCTACCTATTGTACACCTCGTCAGGCCCTGGTGGGGGCTATCGTGCAGGCGGTCAGCAACACGGCGGACATTCCGGATCCGGATCCGGATCCGGATCGAGGCATTTGTACTATAACAACTATGGCAAAACGCCCTACAATGCGACACTCTGGTTAAAGCGTCTTGTGCGCGATCTGAGTCTAAAGCAGAACGCCATTCAAGCACAGCAATCGGAGATGCAGCAGCTCAAGGATGAGGCTGTGAAAATGGCAAAGGACGCTAGGGAGGAGCAGGAGGTAAAGAAGCAGCAGAAGCAGGACCAGGAGGGGGACCAGGAGGAGGAGCAGGAGCAACAGCAGGAGCAGCAGAAGCGCAGCATGCGTGATGTATCGCTCAATATGGATCTCTTAGATATTGTGGGCGTCAGTGACAACAACAACAATAATAAGAAAAACTCACGAGCCAAACGGCAAAGTCCGTCGCGCTCATCGCTTTGCGAAACAACATCGCAGTTCATAACACCTCAAGCTGCTCTCAATTCCCGCGGCAATTGGATGTTTGTTGTCAACGAGGAGAACACCGCACGTCAGATGGTCAAAGCGGAGCTCTGTGCGTAAGTATTCAATCATATAAAATTGTTATTAATACAATTAATAGCTATCCATATCCGATGTCTTTACGCGTTTCACATGCGTTCCTTTGTCGCATTTCTTTATTCGTTTGTGGTTCGTGTCTTAGCTGGATCTGAAAGAAATGTTTGTGTAACAAGCAGTTGAACAATTTCAAACTGCTTACAACTGACTGTACACTGCTTGCTTATGCAGTTCTAGTTGCGAAATGTTGATTCAAACTGCATTTTTATGTATTTTATTTTTGAATATTTTAATAATTTTAAACCCTAACTTATATGTATATCTTATTGTACAACATTCATATATTGCAAATTGAACATATAGCGAATTGAATTAAATTTTGTATTCAAATGGATACAGCCTGCAAGAGCAAGAATACGCTCTAAAGTAGCCAATGCTTGTGACTTAACGACTTGAACTGCAATTCAGCCTTAGGCTTACAAATTATACCTTGAATACCTCTGAAACCCCTAGAAATCTAACTCCAACTCCAACTAAAGTAGTTTCAAGTTAATGCATTATTAGCTTCCTCTGCTTTCCAATGCATTCAAGTTTTCAATAAAATATTCTATGATGCAATGCTACATTCTGAAGCTAATCTCCTACTGACAGCTGTTTGTTTTAAAGTAAAGATCGGGTATGGTAGATATATATATGAGAAAAAACTAGTTAAGTTAGTTTTGGCATAGCTCAAACAGTATTATTAGTTTTACCAATGTGTGATTAAATTCCTTATGTTCTAGAATATCCTAGAAGTTTGTACGGGTAATTAAGGTCTACTTTCACAATAACGTTCATATCTTATTAACTTGTACTAGTGTTTTTAATGAATTAATTTTGAAACAAACACAGTCAACACTTTCAATCAGTGCTTAGGGCCCTCTCGCTCTGGCCTAGTCGCACACAGCAGGATAGCGTTCCATATCAATAAGTGTTCCCCTTTTCGTCAAATATGTATGTTTGCTGGGCTGCTCGTTAGGGGAAGCCTATGTGATGGCCTGGGCACGTGGGCAGTGGAAGTGCAGCAGCAAGTCCAAGTATGGGTATGTGCACGGTTACGTTTGGGTTTTGTGTCATAATTGCGGCTAAACGAATTATAACACCCCGAAAAGTGCCAAGATTAACCAACCAGCGGCCGGTGCTGCTCGTTATTCGTGTCCCCCTCGACCAAGGGCAACTGCCTCTGTGTTATGCGTGCGCTACTCGAAAACCTTTGGAAAAAAGCGCAAACAGAGGTAAAAATAGGGTGACGGGAGACTTTGGATGAGTAACAATTCGAGTAGCTGCAGCCAGTGCAGTAAGAGAAAGGGAGAGGAGATGGAGAAGCGAATAAGGGAGAGGAACTTCTGCTTCTGCTGCTGCTGAGGTCGGTCAATATAGGTCCAAATTGTTTGTCATTTGTCGCCTGCCTGCCTGGATACACACATACATACCCTATGCCCATATACCCTGCAGCCTGACCCTTTCCCACATGTTAGCTGCACTTAGCGCGCAATTTGTTTAACCAAATATGTAGCTGGGCATGAATCGTTGGACGTTGCAGCAACAGGAGCAACAGCTGGCAGGGACACAGTCTCTAAATACCGTTGGTTTAGCTTTAGCACAACTCTTTATCAATTACGCACGATTCCCGTTTTAACAAGTTCGTTAAACTTTCAACTTTGCAGCCGGCGCTACTCAGCCTCTGCCTCTGCCTCTGCCTCTGCCTCTCCTTGCTCCTCCTACTCTCCTTGTTCTTCGACTTCTTGGGCATATTTATGAGTGCAGTTCGCAACTAAATTTCGTAAAGATGTTTGTTTTTTGTCTGTTTGGCGTTGTTTCCGTTGTTATATAATTCTTTTTTCTCTTTCTCTCTCTCTGTCTCTTTCAGCTCAAACACATGCTCGAACCTGTGCGATCTGCCCAATGGCTACAACTCCAGGTGCGAGCAGAAGTTTGTACAAAAACGTTTAATTGCGCTCCAGGGCAACGGCCAAAATCTGTACACGGACACGTTCTGGTTTCCCAGTTGCTGTGTCTGCACTATAGCCGCAAATTAGGGAGCAGCGGAGCACTAGCGAGGTGCCTGGCCATGGCAGCGACAGAGCGAGTCCTATTCACACATCCGAGTAGCCATTCAGAATATCGAGTATTGAAATCCGATATGAACACGATTTTTGCAGCGAATAATTGATAATTAAATTTTAAACAAGCACACACACACGCACCCACGCACACTGTCATACACACACACACACACGCACACATTTAGCATAGTTTTACATCTAATTTAAAAACAAAATTAGTAAAAATCAAAGCAAAGGCAAACTAATGCAAATCATTTTCAATAAACAAACAAATTAATTAGAAACATTTTCAAAATGGAAAACTTTAATGACTCGCAGATGATCTATATATACGACATATGGTTTGTATATAAAAGCTTAAGAAAACTAACCCTAGAATCACAAAAGCTGTAAATGAAACAAAACAAATACGAATAAAACAAGCTCTCAAAATTGCCAAACTCTTTGCACTTATTTCAATTCCTAAGTAATCGAAATCTATATCTAAGTCGGGAGTATAAGAAAAACGAGAAGCCAATTGGAATTTAAAATCCGTGTAGCTATTGGGCTCTGTCGACGTTCAACTTTCTTTATTTTCATAATTTCAATTGATAATATTTTGATTTATGTTTCTATATGCAGTCAAATCAGTAATCATTCTATGATCTGTTTTCTTTTTACGATCACCCCACTCGCTACAGCCTCATTTAGACTCAACATTTGTGTGTTAACAAAGAGAGGCGAAACTTTCTCAGAGTCGACTGTGAGTTTCATTGTACTGAAACCTTTCAAATGAACTGATTATAGTATTCATATATTAATATTAATACTATAATATAATTAACACAAGTTTCCTACTCTCGTTTCATAATTAATTTTGCTAAACAAATCACAATGAGTAAAGAGACTACGCTCTGTCAGCTTAAGCTTCCTCTTTTGGTTGGATAATATATAATGGATTTAATGGATAATGGTTAATGGATACAATGGATAATGGATAATGGATAATGGATCATGGATAATGTATAGTGGATAATAATAAAATGTTCAAGCAGCCATCAGATGTGTGTGTGGCAAAGTGGATGCTCTTAGGTTTACCCTCGTATATAAGCCTTTATTTTGGCTTTGACTTCAGGTCAGATTTTTTTAATCAGTTTTTAAAATCTTAGTTCGATTTTAAATTTCGTTTTACTATATAGAATACTAACTACTTTTTGAGTGTCTCATGCCGTTCTCTAAACTGCACGTAGCCCAAATCTAATCAGACATTAGTTGATTAAGCCTTGGGCATTCAACAATTGCGTTATGCGGTTTTCCATTTAATGGAATTTTCGGTCTGCAGCAATTTAATAATGATTGCAAAATAACAAAATGTGTGCAACAACAACAACAACACTAACAACATAAGAGAACACCTGCTGCAATTGGAATTACATTTCATAAATCCAAAAACAATAATCGTAAAATATCATCAGGTGTCACGCGCAAAACGGAATCGCAATCGTTGGCCCAGTCCTGCCTGCTGCAATTCGAAGGGCGGGCAGCATGCATCGATTGATGGCTGTCCGGATGAGAGAGAGCCCGGTAGCGAGGACTGGAGTGATAGCGGGTGACAGTACGAGTAGCTGTATTTGTTATACAGAACCCTCAAGTACGCAGTTCCAAGGGGAAACAGCCAGCACAGCAATTGAGCCATTCACTTGGTCCAATCATGAGTTAAATTTCATAATACAAAAATAGTAGTACAGCTGTCTTTTATATATAAATATTATGTATATCAAATGTGGTTAACAAACTTAAGAAAAGCTAAGCATTATAGCTTAACTTGATTTGCAAGCCAATGGCAAGACCTCAGTCGTTAGTAAAGTCTGCTAATGGAGCTATTTTGAAAACTTGTTCACTTTCTTTTACGACTCAAAATAAACAATAAATAATGATGCTTTGGCTAAAAAATTAGAAAAAAGTTAAAAAATGCAATTTAATATAAAGTCTTCATGTTTCTTTCTTAAGACTGGGTTTGCTCATAGAGGAAATTTGTATACCCCACTAATTTTTAGCTTAAGTCGCATTAATATGCGAGCCTTTAGCTTAGAGCTAACATCGCATTGTTCACCTAAGTCAGTAGATAAGAGATGGCCCTTCACTACGCAAGCACCTAGAGAAACTGGTTTATAAGCTAAAGGTATATTCGCTATTCATTGACTGCGACAGCTAAGAAGCTGTCCTAATCTCTAGAGACGAAGAGGTCTCTCATCTGTGGCACAAGTTAGGCGACTAACTCTGTCATAATATAATTGTGTATATTATTTTATATAAATATATGATATGTATAAACTTTTACTTAGTTTTAGCTGTCTAGTTTAGAGTTCAATATAACGTGTTCTTCCTATATATATGGAAGAAGTCATGGCTATCTATGGCAAGAGCAGATCAAGTTTGCTTCCAGCAATCGACAAGATTTTGATATAAGCTGAAATTTATATTAAACATTTGTAGGATTTTAAGCGCTCCTTAATCATGACAGACAGTATCAAAGTCAGTTTTGTCAATTGTTAAACAATAATACGATCAGACTAGAGTGCTAACTCGGGCTTGGTCAATATAGGAACCTCAGTTAACAATAATAGATTCCAATCTGCCTTCAACTCGCTATGCACAGGTTTGCAAAGAAGGCAAGGAAAAACAATAGAAGTAAAATGAAAAAATAATAGCAACAAGAAATGTAACTGTTATGTTAACTACAACTACTAACTGCTATATGTGATATATATAATTATATACTCTATAGTGTCGAACTGAAGTTCAATGGCAACACAATGTGACTAAAGGTGCAATAGCCTCGATGGATTCGAATTCGCTTACCTGTGCGGGAAACAACGCAGTCGGACATACCCACCCACTGTGAGTTGCCTTCGTAAGTGTGTGTGTGTTAGTGTGTGTGTATGAGGGTTAATTTGAGATGAGTGTGTGTGTGTGCGTGCGCAGTGAGTTTTAGCAATGATTAGCATCACGAAATGAAAAACTATTGTTCCAATACGCAGCAGAGCGTCGTGTCGAGCCAGGTAAGGGACGTGGATAAGGACGACAGGACATTGACAAATCAGGTAATGGATAAACGGGCCGAAGGGATGCGACGAGCCCAGCTATTGCAAAAATTAAACTGAAACGTTGAAATCTATTTGAAAATTTGGCAGAAACAATATACATTATACGAGAACGTCAAGTAAATCTCAGCAAAAACTCTGCTTGCTGAGCAACATAAGCTGCAGAAGCTTTGCTCTCTGCTCGCCGCTCGTCTGGAGCCACGTCCGAGTCCAAAGCGGAGCAGCTGAAGTTTTGTGGCCAAGCAAAAAAGTGCTGCGGCTGCCTGGAAACGAGCACAGCTCACAGTGCAAAGGAAGCAGCAACAACAGCAGCAACAACAACAGCAGCAGCAGCGGGTAATAATGCAACAACAGCAGCAGCGACAGCAACTGCTCAGTCGACGCTGACAGCGAACGCAGCCGCTGCGCTGTGTATAAAAATTTAACATCTGCTCCTTTCACGATTTCGGAAAACTCAAAACTCGTACGACAGCAACAACAACTGCAACAACAACAGCGGCAGCAATAACAACAACAATAGCAAAGGCAGCAGCAGCAGCAGGGCTGTAATGGAACAAATAAAAATATGTGTGTGTGTGTGCGTGTGTGTGCGTGCGTGTGTGTGTGAGTATTATTGCTGTTGCTGTTGGCTGTTAATGCATTTGGCTTGTGTTACTCGTATTACGTGCATTTGTGCCGCACTTTCATAGCTCAAAGATCTCGCGCTCTCTCTCGCTATCTCTTCTCCTGTTTCTTTCTGCAGCAGCTCGCAGGACGCGCACACCGGATGGGTCCTTGATGGCGCTGCCAGGGCATAGCGCGCGTGCATTCAACTTCAACTGCAACTTGCGCTTCAGCTTCAGTTATCAGCTACAGCAACACTGTCAGAACTTTAGCTCTGGGTCTTTGCTGCCTGCGGTAAGGTTGCTGCCATCGCCTGCTGTTTATACCCTGACTACGAAGAGTCCATAAGCTAGGGCAAGCTAGTTGGGTCTGGCGCTGCTTGACTTTGTTATTAATGAACAGATGAGATATGACTATAATGGAGCTGAAAGCTTAATTTAGTCGCATTTATAGCTTTATTAAGGGTATTCGATATTCGACCTTTACAGTTGACGCCTGCTGCGCTGCCTCTTCTTTTTGCATTTTTGCGAAACGCGCGCGCATTTCTTTCATTTTTCAAATACGTAGCTGCAACTGTCAGATACTTTATCGTAGTTGTTGTTGCTGCTGCTGCAATGTGAATGTCCTTTGTTGCCTGACAAAGGACACGCACACACACACAGACACAGACACATTCGGAACGGTTAAGTAACTTTGTGGCACGCACAACTTCTTGCAGCCCAGCCAAAGTTTTGCTCGCTGCAGCAACGCAATCAAACGGCAAAGTGGCAAAGTCAAAGGCAATGCCACAGAGCAACAGCAACAGCAGCAGCAGCAGACGTTGCAGTTGCACGTCCCCTACACAAACCAGCGACGGCTGCGTCTTATGTTTGTGCAGATGTAACTCAACGAGCAATTTCTTAGCCTGCGTGCGTAACTCTCTCTCGCTCTCTCTCTCTCTCTCTCTCTCTCTCTCTTTGAGTGTGCCTTCTGTGTTTACCTTGTGTGATTTTCGTGTGTAGGACAGGTCAGTGTTCCTCTGCCAGGATAAGCATTAGGATAAGGGTTGCGTTTCAGGGCGATTTTCCATTACGCAATGCAAATAAGCGAAGGTTCTCAATGCCCTCGCTCGCTCCCTCCCTTGGCTTCTGCCCATTCCCAATTCCCATGCAACAATGCAACTGTCAAGGTTTTGCTTGCCTTTTTGTGCAGCACCAAAGCTAAAACCTTACGCCCAGCGCGCATTTGCTGCCCACGTTCACATTTCGCTGCCGTCAAAAGGCTTCTAACAACAACAACGACGACGACGACTGTAAACTGCATGGCCGAAAAAGCACTGGCAACAGAAATTGCACGCACAGACACACACCACACATCACACACACATTTACACAAGCTCAACTAATAGTTTGGCGAAAAAAAGTGAAATGAAATCAACTGACATATAGAGCAGGAACAGGATGAGGACGAGAAACAGTGGCACAGCTAGGAACTGTGACGC